CGAAAACGAGGTAAAGCCAATAAGTTAGTTGAAGTATTTACAATATTCATCATTCATGTGTACGAAATTAACAATCTTGCGTGATTATCACAATTCGTTCACTTATAGTCATGGTGCTTTATTATTTCTTTACACTTGTTTTGAAATATTTGCACATATTGATAATTATCAGTTTCTTTTTATTTCTTAATTCAGGTTTCTCAATATACATTTGTAATGGCCTCTTACCGAGAAAAAAAGGCGGATCCGTCGGAGATTATGCAGCTAGACGGCTTTACTGTTGATTACTGCGATTCCCAACCAGGTGAGTAAATCGTATCCACTGATCGGTTTTAAATATAATTGTTCGTTTGGGCAAAGTTTGAAAATTAAATTATCTCATTTATTTAAATAGTTATTGATCGTTTCCAATTAGTTCAGATTTTGCAAGATTCCAAATGATAAATGATATTAATTTCCAAATTCCGTTCCATCAACACAATAATTTTAATTGCTAAGCTCACTTCTATTTCAGAGTCAATTGAAATTAATAATTGCATAAAAAAGTTGGGCTTTGAGGAGTCTCTTCTTCCATTTCGAGTGAGAGTGTTGGGTGAAGAGATTAGAAGGCCGATTCCACCATAAGACGACGGCGGATTCCTCTTGAACCGCTGTCGATTTGTTTTACCGGAACATTCTTGTTGACTCTGTTTCTGTGGCAATCTCCTTGGATCAGGTAGCTATAAAATAATGTGTTTATGTGATCGCTTTTATTTTGGAGAGAATGATCATCCCATTCGAAAAAGGGTGGCTGGGCACTAAATTCCCTGTATAAGCCTTTGGGTTAAAAAATCAGAGCTAGTAGAGCACACGGCCGAAATTAGGAATGAGATTGAATGGCCTCAAATGTGTCGTTTCGCTGACTTTGTATCTATAAAGCTAAGCACAATATTAGAGAGGCCATTAAAAGCAACCGATTAGGCACCACAATTAAGCTCAGGAATACCGGTAAAAAATTAAGTAAAACCTACTTATGCTTAGTTGATAGACTCAAAGATAGATAGAGTATTGAGCCGCCCAAAAAAAGACTCAACTAGGTTTTTTTTATTAGGTCACTTTTTTTCTCTCACGCATGGGCAAAAGCTCATCAACTTATATATATATATATATATAGTGTGATGGTGGTCACCAAATCTTGATGGCCAAGAGGAGATGTTACTTCTCTGTTCCATTTACTTTGAGCGATCACTGCATATACGAACACATGAAGGCAAATAAACAAACACATACAGACACATTCACATTGCCATATAACTCAAACTCACTAAATCACTTTATGCCTTATCAAAAAGCTTAGATTAAAAGTATATTTAGAGCATTTAGGAATG